TACTATATGAATACAGTGTACAATTTACGATTACGATAACAATTTTATATTATTTAGAAATAAAGACAAGATCGCTTTCAGTTATCGCACTAAATAATCGAATTTAATAAAACTGTTTCACTTTTAAACTTTGCAGTCGTTATTTTTGCCACCTAGTGTCTGGATTTATTATTTTTTAGTGTACTTATATAGTGATATTGTAATATTTTAGTTAACCTTCTTTTTATTAGGGAGAGAATCGATATAAAAAAAAAAAAAGTGCGGACACACTGTATTGTAAAGTGTACGCATTTAAATACAATATTACGCTGTTCGATAAAATTACGTATGCATTCCCACATATCTATGCGTTTGTATTTTTCAAGCCCTCGTGTTCAGTGACCGTTGAACTTGTATTTTATCGCACACGAACAGTTACGATTACATTGCAGGCTAATCATAATAGTAATAATAATAATAATTTAAACAATGACTTGTTTTCGGTTCAGAATACATTTTAATGAATTAAAAAAAAAAAACGTACGGTCGACGCCGCGTGCATAATGACGTTGTACGACCCGTGTCCGTTTACCATAATTACAATATTTGTACTGTGGCGCGGGAATAACAAATCGGAAAATCCTCCGCGGTCCCGGTCATTGCGCGGGGCGGTCCGCTGTGACGCACGATGTCGCGTATGGCTTTTGAACTCGCGAAACCCACGGACGTCATCCGCTTATCCGCCTGCCGCCGCTGTTCGCGGTGTCCGCAAACGCGTACGAAAACGCGCGCGCGTCACGACCGGCGGCGTAACGAGTTTTAAGTTTTCCAACTCCAAAATACCCCGCAAATAAGATCCACGGTCACTGATTATTTATAGAGATGCAGCATTGAAAGAAATCAATTTAAAAAAAAAAATTGTTTCGCCTCCCTCCCTCCCATTAAACCTTTTTAGCCTATTGGTCCTGCATTTTTTAAGTTGATAAGTAATAACAACGAAGAAGTTACGTTCGACGGAGAATCAAACGTTTAAAAACGTCACGTAAAATAACTCCACCAACAATATTGTCGTCTGTTAAAACTTGCGAATCGAAAAATGAAAATACAAAAAAAAAAAAAAAAAACCCCCAGAAAACATTACTGATCGCATGTTTATCTATACGCTATATTACTGTTTTGTTCCCGGTGCAAATTACCCTTATCGGGGCGGGGTCGCGTCGCACTCCGCGTGTGCACCGTGAAATTAATTCGTCGACAGGCGATGCGTGTCGCGCGGCGGGGCGAGAGGAAAAAAAAAACCGCACGTCGTCCGTGGGAATGTCTCTCGCGCGCCAAAAGCGTCCACAAAAGGCAGAAAAAAAGAAAAGAAATTATAATGCACAAATAAAAGAGGGTTGGCTGGACGAGCGCGTGCAGTTTCGACGACAACGGATAATGGACAAAACGCCGCCGAGACAGAAAAAAAAAAAAAAAAAAACAACACAATGCAATACGACGACTGTACAATAATATTCCGCAGTCGTTTCTCGCGACGTTTCGACCCCATTTATTATGTTTGTACGGGTCGGTCCCCGCGAGAAAAAAAAAATCCCGCTCGCGCACGAGACGGATTTTCGGCAAAATGACGCGGCGGCGGACAATATAAATACAGAACGGAACGCGACAACAATATGCGCGTTTGTTACCGTGCCCGTATAATATTATTACGTTGTTAAAAGGCCGCGTAAAATACGATAGGCGCGAGATTATGTATTACAATACGAATGTTTCTCGAAATACGAATCGCGCCCCGGGTAGGCCGAAGTAGGCTGGAAGTACAAGCGAGACGTTCGCGAGGTGTTGTAATAGTACACAATATGTTAGGTCAACGTCGTTGTAATAACATAATTCAACCTGTTTTGTGCTGCTCGTTTTGATATTGGCGTGCATTAGTGCCTGTTCACTGACTCGATGGTAAACATGTATCGTGTAAACATTTGTGTTTGCGCGTAGGTTTTTTTTATCGATATTTTAATTTTTTTTCGACAGATTCGACGATTTTTAAACTGTAATATTACGCATGTCTGCAACCCGCTTGCAAATTAAAACGCCGAGAAAAGGCCAAAAAAAAAAAAAAAACTGACAATGTTCTCATCTGTAGGTATAATAATAGGCTCATACACTCTAGTTACTAGAGTCTATAGTGTCAAAACTAACGGCTCGAAATCGGTATTTATACACAAAACGTATAAATATAACGACATTGACCGATTTTACAACATTAAACGGGATACAGGACGTATTACTTTGTGTAGTGAAAGCTACCGCGAATCACTGCGGTCGAAAAAACGATTCTGAGCGGAGCTCGGTAAACCGATGAGGGTACAGTGCGTATCACGCGCGTTATAGTCTGGAAGGTATTCTCCGGCCTTGTAACCGATCGGTCGCTGCAGAAATCGACGATTTACGTTAACTTATTTCTGTAATATCTTCTACATACTCGTATACGCTCACGTGTTCGTACCGTTAAAATTGTTAATTCAAATTCAAAATCATGGCTAGTGATGATATGCGTATTATTGGCTCCGCGGACTCGTGTCAATTTCCTATCGTTTTCGGTACAAGAAAATCGAATTTTGAGAATACGTTCGTCTTAGTCTAACGTTCGAAACATTCGGGCGGTTTCAGAGATATTTATAGCCGTTTGAAATTTTTAGTTTTATATTGTTTTAAGCGGACGACATTTTGTTTACCAATAAAACAAATGCTTGACAATTTGATACAGAGTTCATACGCGCTTTTCTTGCGGCACGGGAAATATATCGAAAATCCGTAGTCAATCTTCGTCTAAGAACTTTGTTCAGAATCGTTTTTCGTTGTACGAATACGTATAAATTATTAAATAAATTCAAACGGATCGACGAAAAATAAAAAAAAAACATTTGTATTCCTTCTATATGTATATGGAATTTTCAATAAAGCGGTTACTGTTTGATAATCAAAAGCCAATACTTTTCGCGAGATAATGTTAAGAGTATAGTCTTGCGTTACGACCTTCAAGCCCGGATTAAAGGGGGTCGAGGGATGACCACGTCACAAGACTCTACATATGCTTATTCAATTTTCACCACAACATATTATGTTTTTCATTCACTGTGCATTTAATCGTAAACTTAGTATATTTTAAATTCTGGTCGGAGCGAGGGTTGTATTGGTTTCGCAATGATGTTTATTTTTTATTTTTTTTTCTGTGGATAACTTTTCTACTAGCCAACTTACAATCATAGCACTTTTTCTGAAAGGAAATCTGACTTAGATGGTGATTAAAGTGGTCATTTTCTTTGCTGTTTTCATAACAAATGGGAAAAACTAGGAAATAACGTAAGAAAACTGAAAAATAGGTACAATATCAATCGAAAATTATTAAAGAAAATACATAATGCATAATATTATGTTATTATTTTACCATAATATGACAAAGCAACAACACAATCAACCGAACTGTGCTCTGAATCGGTTTTTCGTTAGCAACGGTTAATCGTTGCGTACAGGTTTATAGGTATATTCAATTTTCCCTCTACCTTTTCAACTTCTCACTTGCAACAGTGGCACGCCCATCATGCGAAATATTTAGATAATAAAATATATCGCTTTTATTACCGTGTTTCGTCGATGGCCCTTAGCGAAAACCACACTCGACCTCTGCATTATGACGTATTGTTTTTATTTCGTTCAAAAACCGCATGAAGTAACAATTGTTAACAATCATTTTCGTTCGCCTTATTCATTTCGCGAAAGAGCCTCGCTGAAAATGTTTGGCCCCGGGGCTTCTGTAAACGCGATAATCCGCGGGCTCGGCGACGTCGATCACTCTGTATAATATCGCGCAACACGGCGGCGGCGTGCATATTGAATACGATAATAATATTATTATTATTATTATTATTATTAATAAAAGCAAAGAGAAGTAGGTATTATAGTATTGTATACGTATATAGGAAGGTACCCGGAGTAAAAGTATGTCGGGACAATAGAGAAGAAACGGCACGACGACGACCGTGGGAACGGTTATCGGGCAAAAGTGTGTGCCGAAGGTAAGAAAAAAAAAAAATAATAATAATAAAAAAAGGGGCTCGCGCTATAGCGACGTGTGTTCGTATATTTTATTGTATGGGTACGACAATATAATAACGATAATATTATACGAGCACGTGCCGTACATCCAAATGATAATATTAAAACAAAACGGTAACCGGTATACCTACATACGAGGTACGCGGTCTTATATAATAATATTACAGTATCGTTTTTTTACCGATTTGGAATATTGTACGGTGGTTTTTTTTTCCATTTCTCGCGTACCGGCGGATTAACCGGCGGGAGGTAATAGGGGGGGGGAGGGGACACGGTGCGGAATCGACGACCGAGTCGATCGAAGAGCCGCGTTTTTTTTTTTTTTGGGCAGGCGTAATTTCCCCCTTGAATATCTCCGAATTTATAAAATCCAACACTACTTAACTTCTTTCGCCTACAAGAAGCTACATTATCGCTGAGTAACATCGGCTGTATTTTATTTTCAAACAAAAATTGAGGTCCCAACGAAAATTGTCAAAATTAGGTTTTTATGTATTTTCGGTGCCTAATTGTTTGTTTATTTATTTTTGTTTAATCGTGGGTAACCTCGGTGAAATGGGTGACAATTTGGTTGTCACGGACAAGACTGTTAGTATTATTATCAGTGATCATTTTACGTTGAGCATATTATTATTGTTGCAGTACCGTTGCCAGAAGCGGTTTCGGGTGTTGTTTTCCCCTCCCCCTTCTATCGTGGCTTTTTGTTTACAGCTATCAGTCAGGGCAGTAGCTAGGAATTTACTATGGAGGAGGGGGAGGGTCCAGTCCCAAAGACAGGAATTTTGTAGAGGATATCATTGTAAGAAATTACATTGAGTTAAACATCAAAATTGTAAGGGTCAAATGTTATATTTTCACGATAACACTAAGTCGAATTGTCTCGGCTTCTTAGCCATTTCACCCAATACTCATCGGGCGTGATGACGATTTTTCGGTAATAACTTAATAGTGCCAATCCATGGAGACGATCCTGTTTGACAAAAAATTCAATAAATAAAATGAAATCAGAATTAATTGTGTATACGTACCTCTTTCATACTGTTTGCGAGGTAGATTTAAGCCAGAAAAAGATTTTTCTGGCGTTGGAGTAGAAGCAGGTAGACTGTACACAATTTTTAGTAACATAAATATATTTGGGATATGATAGGGTAGTAGTTCATCGTTGCTTGTTACTAGCCTTTTGAGTTTTTGTCTCCAAATTTGTAGCTCACAGTTAGCCGTGACAGCATCGACTTCAGGAAGACGGAAAGAAACAAGATGAGATTCAAAGTCTATTATAGCTGTTGAATTGGTGTCATCAAACAAACATGTGCTGTCAGCAGCCCGAAGCAGTAACGTCGTCAACGGCGTTATCAGTTTCTAGTCTAGGCCGTCGATGGACGATGATAAGACATAATACGTTATATCAAGATGTAGACGAAACGTAAATGCTTGAGACCGTGTACCTACACCGTTCATAATGTATATTAAGACCGTTAAGACTGTTTATTCGGTTGAAAAAAATAATAATAAACATTTAAAATTTTTAGGATACACTAGAGATGATCACGTTTTCCACTCCGCTAAACGGGGGGGGGGAAAGGAGGGGGAAGGCCGGAGCGGCCGTTCGGACGACCGAAACGAGAGTAAAAGTGCGCCGCCAGTCGGGAGCGCGTGTGACTGCGACACGCGGGTACCGACGAGCCGGCCGCGGTGTAACGCACGCGGCGGGTAACGGACGGAAGGAAAACGTCGGCGTGTGGCGCGACGCGGCGGCCACGACCGTGGGAACGCGGGCGCTAAAGTCTACGGATGGTGGAAAAAAAAAAAAAAACAACAACAACAACAATAATAATAATAATAATAATAATAATAATAAAGGGGTTCCGACGAGCGAACGTGCCTGTACACTTACGGCGGCAATACGAAACGGGCATGTGGCGTATTGCGTGTTGTATACGCACGCACGCGTCGTACGTCGTCCACAATAAACATCGCGTTATTATTATCGCCGCGGTGCGAAACGGTAGGCGACTGCTACCCGGTTTAACGTGATTTTATTTTTTTTTTCTTTATCTGGATTTTTTCTCTCCGGTCGTTCCTCGGCTAGAAGTCTCGATCCCCCGTTCTTCTCCTCGGCGCGGCGTACGAACGAGAGACAAAAGCGAAAAACAGAATAAAAAAAAAAAAATCAAAAAAATAATACGACCGCTACTACCCCGACGTTATTGTTCGTTACGCGTACGCGCGCGGTAATTCGTACGTAGTAACGCGCCGATTATACGGAAGACCGGGAGGAGGGGAGAGGGTGGTAAGATTAGGGGGGGTTGGGGATAGCGGAAGAGAAGGCAAATCGAACGACGGAAAACGATTCTGAGCAAAGTTTCTTACGAGTATACATTCGTACACATTTTCCCGTTTATTCTACTTTGTTTCTCAGACATACGTTTCGATAAATTTCAATTGAACGTTTTATTCATATTTGTAACAGCAAAATAAATGACATTGCAATCAAATTGTTCGGGTTTTTAACGTATTTTAACATACATTTGAACGTAATATGGTGATAAAAAAAAAAAAACTGCACAATTTTCATCCACATAAAACACACAAAAAAACTCGATAATTTTATACGATTTTATACGATACGTGAAAACGCCTGAATATTTTAAAAATTCCACCACGTCCAGAAAATGCTGATACACTGCAAGTATTCGACTGCAGTTACAGCCAGAAACGGTTCTCTATACACGAATAGTCGCTACGATTATTTTCGACCAAATCACAGAAAAATTTAAAAAAACGAAAAAGACGATCCGCGATAAACTGCGCGTTAAATATTTCCTTTTTTCGACGTTTTTCCACGATTGATAAAGAAACTCAAAAAATGCTCCACTCCCCTCCCTCTATGCACCAAGACACAATAAGTTGACGGTCGGGCAGAGATTTCGGGCAGTAATATGTTAACAGTATCATCATCGATTTCCAAAGGCCAAGCCTTTTTGGTGAATAGGCCACCCCTATCTATCCCTCGCAACCTTCTCCGTTTAGCGAAACGGTCGGCGACGCACTCTAAATCGTGTGCAACTTCAAAGTAAATTTTTCCCGGTTTTCTTTTAGTTTTCTCGTAAACCGATAACAGACGAATTAAAAAAAAAAAAAAAGGAAAGTCATGAGTGGTAATAAAAGACTAATACGTATTCGTCACAGCCATTCGGCCGTAATCTATTGAAAATAAATAAGGTGAAAAAAGATCACGGCAAACGGAACCGCAAACACCGTGGGAACGTTTACACGCGCGGCGCATAAATCTACAAAAGATGATGGAAATAGAAGGGGGGGACCTCGCGCGTGCTCGACGTGTGCTCCGGTACCACGGGTACACGGATATTGTTACAAGTACACGCGCCGGATCGTCGAAGAAAAATAATACTCGTACCTGCGTACGCGTACCGCGGTCGGGCGACCGAAATTTACGCAAACGAAAGGTGCGAGTAAAACACGTATTAATTTCTATAGCATCGAAAATGCGTGTTAATAATATTCGCGTTGGAAAAAAAAACAGACGGACGTACTTCGCACGCGGTCGGGCCGCTGTTGTAGGTGAGAAGTTTGAAAGGTCTAGTAGAGGGGGAATTCAATGCGGATCTGTACGCTATGCGGTTAACCGTTATTAGCGAAAAGCGATTCAGAGCGGAGTTTGGTTAATAGTGTTGCTCTGTAAACAATATGTAGGCATAATGGTATAATGGTTGAACAATTGTACTGTGGCTTGGTGCAAGGAGGGACAATGTCGTTTTTTTGGGAAAAAAAAATTGTACAATTTTTATTTTATACGCAAAAGTTGATGACACTTTTGTAAAAATCGAAAATTACGCAATCATTTACATTTAATAATATACTCAGAGCCTTATTTCAAAGCCCATTTCAAAACAATCACAAACTGTGATATTGGCCCTTCTTGCACCAAGCCACAGATTATACATGTGCATTATACATTGTAAAGCCAATACATTTCTCGCTCTGCTCAGAACTTGAAGAAATACTACGGTGCGATGATTATTCGCGTCTTCCCGAGCTATTGTCGAGCGAATAAATCCGCGCACTTTTACCGCGTGAAACCGGAGATAAGAAAAACGTTTTTCGAGGTGAAAAATAGACGTCTAAGTGGAATTTCCCCCGTATACAACCGGAAGTCGGTATCTACAATGATAATCGAAATATGTGGCGGGAACATAAGCTCTCTGGATACGCCACCGGCCGTTACATAAATTATATTATAGTATTCATAACGATTTGTCCATAGAACCTATTACAGGGGCTGCAAGTTGTCGCCGTATTAAACTACAAAACCCTCAACGAGTTACGAACAGTTATGTACGATAGAAAACGACGGATTTCGAGCGTTTCTGTACGGTCAAACGATTCGCCGACCCAAATGTCGAATGGCTACAGACAGTTTGACAACGGCTAACGTGCGAGTCTTCGGTGAAAATTCAAGTCTCTGCGATCGTTTTGACCGAATGGCAACAAAACGACAATATTGAAAATAACGAAAACCCGCGTTAAACTTTCCCGTGTTTTCCTACGCTTTTTCCGCCGGATTTTCCCGATCACTATGAAAACCGCTCGAAAAATTACCTCAACGACGAACCGGCAAGTTCCGAAGCACGACAATACCCACTTGTGATTTTTCGGTTGAACAAGATTTCTGGTGGAAAAGCAGTTTACAGACAAAACAAAACACACACACACACACACACACACACGTTATGCGGTAAAAGCGTTGCGCTTAAAAGAGGAAAAATTCAATTTTCGCAGCGACGAAACCCCGACCGACGCCCTACGGGCCGGGCGAGCCGAATTTTCAGACGCCGCAAAGTGGGACGGCGGTCGTCGTCGTCGTCGTGTTTTAACCGTCGGGCGTGCAAACAACGTCGTCGGACGAAAAACTTTACGGGTGTCCGAGATGTCTGTAGGGGGGAGAGGGGAGAGGAGAGCAGGGCGGGGGTAGGTAGTAGTATCGTTTTACGAATGTGCGCGGGGGTCGTTCGGTTTCCGCCGAGAAATTCGGTGTCGAAATGTGGGAACAGCGAAAATGTCGGCCCTACGCGCCTGCAGCGGTGCATCGCGCGCGGAATCGAATTTCCCGTCCGAGCGGGCGACGCCGTGACGTACCCCGTGCACGTAAACGCGTACCGCGGGCCGGGGCGTATGCGTACGGTTGCCGCGTCGTCGCGCGCGTTGCGACGTGACGACCGCGATTTCGTTATTATTATAATTCTATCGCGGAGAGCGGTCGCCGCGAAGCGCCGCCGCCGCCGCCGCCGCCGCCGCGTAGCCCGCGCATAGGAACGAAGTAGAATGACTTCGGTCGTCGTCGGACGGCGGCGACCGTGGGAAACGCCGGTCGCGAGCAAAAGTCTATGCGGGTACGCGCACAATAAAGGTGAAGAGAGAGAGACGAGAAAAAAAAAAAAAAAAGGGGCCCGCGCGACCGACGTGTGCGCGCGTACGCGTACATAATACGCGTTCGACGGTATTGCGTATACAAAGCGTGTGCGCGCCGTACCTCTAAATTAGCGCGTGGCAGGTGTGCGCGCGTGTTGTGCGCGTCTACGCCCGGAGGATGCGGCGGCGGCGGCCCGGGGCGGCGGCACCCCTCCCGGGGGCATGCCTGTGCGTGTCCCGCGCGCACGCACGAGCGGCCGTCGGACACGCGCGCACGCGCACGCACCCGTCGCGAGCGGCTCCTCGACACTGTGGGAATGCGAACGAGATTCCCACGGACGCCCCGTCACACGCCGCCGCCGCCGCCGCCCCGCCCCGCGCCGCCCGTTCGCCGCGGTCGGCCGCCCGTATATAAGGCGCCGTGCCCTTGGCCGGTGCCGTCATTCCGACACACACGCCGCCGACCGTCGCACGAGCGTTTCTCCGATACCCGCCGCCGCCCGATACATTATTCGATCGCCAGACTGTGAATTTTTTTTATTTATTTTACCGTTTTCGCGCCGTCACGAGAAAAATGCGTCCCGTCGCCGAACTCAGACCGTCGTACCGGGTACAGATGCACATGATGCAACAGCAACAACAGCAACAGCACCAGCAGCACGCCGCCCAGTCTTCGTCCGATTACGACGAACAACCCGTGTCCCGGACTTATCAGTACAGAAAGGTAATTTGATTTTGATTTTTTTTTTTTTTTCTGTTTTTCGATTTTTTCCGTTGAAAAATAAAAATAAATAAATCTCGGACCGCCGCCCGCGCATTTTCATCGTCGATCGTTTTTAACGTTTTGTTTTTCTTTTCCGTTTTGCCCAGGTCATGAAACCGCTTTTGGAACGCAAACGACGGGCCCGGATCAACCGGTGCCTGGACGAGCTCAAGGACCTGATGGTGGTCACGCTGCAGGCCGAGGGCGAGAACGTCAGCAAACTGGAAAAGGCCGACATACTGGAGCTGACGGTCCGGCACCTGCACAAGCTGAAGCGGCACAACGCGCTGGGCCTGGGCGGCCAGGACTCGGTGTACGCGGACAAGTTCCGCGCCGGTTTCGCGCACTGCGCCACCGAGGTGTCCAACTACCTGACGTCCGACGTCCGTTCGCCGCCGGTCGAACCGTCCGCGGGCGTCAAGCTACTCCACCACCTGGGTGCTTGCATGCGCAAGATCGACGTCGACTCGAACTGCGCCGTCTCCGCCAACAACAACAACACCGCCAACACCACAAACAACAACAACAACAACAACAACAACAACAACAGGTCAGCCCCCGATCAGTACAGGCCGTACACTCCGCCGTCGACGCCGGGCAGCGAGCTCAAAGACGACCCGAGTTCCGTCTGGAGGCCATGGTAAACGGAACTTTTTTTCCGACGGTCCGCCGCCGAATCAACCAGCCCCCCCCCCCCCCCCCCNCCCCCACAACGCCAAAGACTGAAGTTATCGCCTACCCCTCCCCCCTACCCACCCTCCTAGTGCAGAAGTCTGTCGAGTACGGTTTTTTTTTTTTCAAATATTTAAATATATTTATTGTAATTTTTTTTTTCTATTTATTGTTGTTGACGATCGGTTTTCGATCGAATATTTATTTATTATTATATCGCTATTTTTTTTTTTTTTTTTTTTTTTTTATGATATAAGCGCTGCAGCTGTTTACCAAAAAATAATACAAAAAAAAAACAATTTTAGTTATTAGACGTATTTATAATTTTTTTTTTTTTTTTTTTCAAATTTCGTGTTGTTTTCACTTTGACGGAAATCGTACAAGAAAAAAAAAATAATGTATTTACTCGATTGACATATTTGTACGCGGATAGTATCCGACGAAAATTATTGAACTAGCGCCACTGTGATATTAATTTATAATATGGTTTTATGAACATTATGTGTTTTACGAGACAATACAAAATGTATTAATTAATCGTTTAAACGTTTTGCGTTATTTTTTTCTCTCTTTTTATTCCTGCATGTATGTAAACCCGATTATTATTATTATTATTTACGAAGTTGAAAAGGTTTAAACGGTCCGGTCGGTTTATCGGGTTTTCTTTTCTTTTCTACCTCTTATATAGGCCGGTCGATACTTTTGAACACTGCACTGCGGTTTTTCAGGCCGGAAACGCCCGAAACGCGAAAATAATGACAGTGCGACGTTAAAAGTACGAGTATACCGCGGTTGTGACTGCGAGTCGCATATTTTGATGATCCGGTTGTATATTGCCGTTTCCCGTTATTGTTGCGACGGAATAACCGCCGTAAACTATACGCACCGTAAGAATATATTAGGTACCTGTTATTAGAGAGAGAGAGAGAGAGAAAAAAACAAAAAATCCATCGGTAATAATTTCGCAACAGCGCGTCGTTATCGATCATGCGCGGGAATCGATTCGCGCCCCGGGGAAATCGGTCGTCGACACGGCCACCGGAAACGGGGGAAAACGGGACGGAATTTGAAGTGTACGCCGAGAATAGTGAACCGTTTCGGAACGGCGGCGGATCCCGGGAGAGGGCGCAGGGGCACGTGCCCCCTACCCCCGTCGATGGACTGCGGTTTACGTTTTACATCGGTTTAACAGACGATTATCTATAGTCACTAACGCACCGAAAACATAAATAATGCGTCGCATTTTTTTTTATCAATTGTCCCGGATCCGCCGCCGCGTTCGGTGCTCTTTTGGTCATCGCCATACCGATTTTCGTTCCGGATAACGCCCGGCGTCGGCGTTCGACGTCAACAACGACGACAATACAATGACAACCGTCTTCGTCGTGACGGACGGTGGCGGCGGCGCGTTCGTCGCGTTATAATATTACAAACAGTATATACGCACGAAATAATACGCGGCGAACGGTCGTCGTTTGTAACGTTAGTAAGAAACGATATAATAATAATAATAATGGTATACGAAAAACTGTTCGGAAAGACGGCGGCGGCGGCGGCGGTCCCGGTATTGTCCGGACGCCAAGTTCTCACGGTGCCCGCGCGTCCGGGCCGACCGGCGCGCAGAAACCGTGACCGTCCGATCGCCGCCGTCGCGTGTGTACAGAGCGATGCTTTTGTACCGCCGCGCCGCCGATGTGGGCCGCCGCCGCGATAATCGTCTCTACCGCGTAACAATAATAACAATGAGATGAAAAAAGCAAAAAAAAAAAAAAAAAAACACAACGCATCATTTCGATACGCGCGCAATAGTAACCGGAGCGCGTGTGTCCGGATCCGCATGGTATACTGCCGTAAAATCCGCGAAAAAGACGACGAAAAACCGTCGGAAAGCGTTTAAAACGGAATAAAAAAAAACATTTCACGCGCGTGTAAAAGTCTCCCGTACGCGCGAAACGATCGATTCGTTGACGCGCAAATCCGACGGTCGACAAATTGCGCCGCGGCGCTACAGAAATTGTCGACTCGTTTTTTTTTTTTTTTTATCGATTTCTACACAATAACACAGAGCGCAGGGCGCGCGAACCGAGTTCTCGGTATTCGGCAGTTTGTCATATCAGTTTGTCGTAGACGCATTTCGGTGAACCTTGTCATTGTCGTCGCTCTGTGCTTTTCGCGTGCCGTCGATTGACTTACGTTGACCCCGATACACGCGTCGAAGCAACAAGTGTATTTGCGTATAAAGTACGTCGACCACCGTGGAAAAACGAAAAACGAAAATTAATGTTAATGCGCGGAAACGGTTTTGTCGTCTACGCGATCCCTGAAAAGTGCTTTGTGTCGATCACTGTCCGAACGTTATTGATAACGGGTCACGGCCGTCAGAAGGCCACTTTAACACCCCCGTATTGTTTTCGATTTTTTTTTTTTTTTAAAAAGTCCATTTAACCGCTTTTTTTTTGCGGAATTTAAGCGATTGTACGTTGACACCGGCGCCTCCGCGATCAGAGTCCGGAGCTCGGAAAGTTGTTTTTCCAAAAAGAAATCCGGTTCATTAAAAAACGGAACTCGAGGAATTGAGCCGGTTCTCCGATGCTCGGCGAGTCGGTCCAAGGAACCGATAGACGCGACGTTACCCATTCCATCGGTTCGGGATTTTCGCAAACTCGTGTTTTCCACCGGAAACATTGTTTTGATCGAAAACTGCCCGGAGACCTTTTTTTTTTTTCCCCCCCCCCCCTCCGTTGTCGTTGTATTTTACAATATACTCGGCGAGCAAGAGGATATTGGACGTCCAAATGCCGGACCATCGAACGGCCGCGTGGAAAAAAACCCCCGGGACCGGATCGACCACGCGGGCGACGTCTCTGCGCGTAGTCGCCCGCGCGAACCGACCGACGACGACGACGACGACACGGTATCCGTCGAAAGAATCGCCCTGTATACGGCGAGCGCGCGCGCGAGCACAGTGTGTCGCGTTATGATAATATTATTATTGTTACGACGTGTTTGTATTGGCGATATTGGTTCCGGTATTTACGACACGCCGGCCGGGTTTTGGGGAGGAGGGAGGGGAGCCGACGGACTACGGCCGCAGCGGCGCGCGTTCGCGTCCCGTACGTGACCGGCGGTCCCGTCACGCGCACTAATCGCCGGCCGCGCGGCACGCATACGCGAGAACGTTGTGCACGGTCGCGATAACGTCGAGCGCGCGCTGCACCGTACACAACGTAAACGTCGCGGCGGCATTGTCGTCACGGTGGACGCCGTCGTGTCGTGTCATCGGGTTTTTCCGCGGGCGTCTCCTCCGACACCCGACCGTTCCCCACTCGCCGGGCGGTTCCGTCGCTCCGGCGCGCCGTCTCGGCCGCGCGCGTTTCTACGCGCCTTGCCCCGATGTTCGTCGTCGGGCTCGTTATGAAATGCGCGCGTTCCCGACACCGCGCCTCCCCGGCGATGGCGCCAATACGGGAAGGGAACGAACGGATGGATGGATGGTGGAGGGGAGGTGTGGATCAGGAGCGAGGAACATGAGGCGGAATTCTCGCCCGGCCGGTGTCTGAACCGCGATCGCATCAATTGGAAAAGAAAAAAAAAAAACACGGACATATTTCGCACGATGGGTGGGCCGCTATTGTACAGACGGGGAGTCGGGAAGGTATACAGACTGTAGAGGGATACAGAGACGGGAATTCAATGTATATCTGTACGCGACGGTTTAGCTTTGCTAACGAAAAACGATTCTGAGCGGAGTTCGGCTGTACGTGTTTTGAAAGGCCGTTAATATTATTGAGATGTTGAAATACGTGTTTCGTGAATTTTCCGGGTTTTTCCAATCTGTTATGAAAAACGTCAGGTGAATAAAAAAAATCGCCTCCTCCGGGTACCACCCCGGAAAAATTCCCATTCAGAAAAGTTGCTAGATTCGCTACTTTGGAGCGAGATATCTGGTAGCATTTTTGTATTCGGCATAGAACAAGAAAACGACCAAAAAAAAATCATTGCAAAATCCACACGTGCCTCGCTCCGCTCGGAATTTCAAAAACAGAATAGATAGCTAAAACAACGAGAGATTGCGCTCGGATAGAAAAAAAAAAGCAACGACACGCGACGGGACCCGCAGACCTGCAGTAGCGGATTTTCAACGTTTTTCCGGGAGGCGTGCCGAGAAATCACGTACACAAAAGTTATCTATTAATAGACGCTTCTTTTTTTCGGACGACATTTCATTAAAACCCATCGGTTTCTGAGGGTGGGGGAAAGGGTCTAGGAGGGGTCTGTACTTCCCTCCTTCCGTCACCTCGTGAATTCGCCGCTGGACCTGTTAGTGGTGCCGTAACACGATAAATTGCTGCACGCGACGCTATATTTTTTTATTTATTTTTTTTTTTTATCGGGATATTCGTTTCGAGTATCCCGCGAATACTGTAACAGTAACGCATTATACGTCCGAAAAGTATCGGGAAACATAAAATCGGAGACCGAAATCCGAGTCGAACGGTAAAAACGGACTCGGTAATGCGAAATTTCGTAAACGAAAACGAGGCCGTTTTACCGGAAAAAAATCGCAGTCGTTTTCGCGCTTAGCCGTCGCTCGTTGCGTGCAGCGGTCTCGGGCGGGTACGGATCTGCGTGCGCGTTACACGGCCGGGACGACGGACAGGCGAAAAAAAAAAAAATAATATAATAACTCGACCGGTGTTATTGTTGTTACGAAAAAAAAAAAAAAATAAAAAGGCGTTTACGGGCGAGGCGAAGAAGAACAGACATAAAAAAAAAAAAAAAAAAGAAAAAAATTGAAAAAAAAACAACCGTGCCCGCGATGAAATCCGTTTGGGCCGGTCCCCATCCGGTCCGCCCGAAGCACCGGAAACGCACGGTCGGTTTTTTTTTTTTTTTCGTCTCAACAACGGCAACTACCGACGGCTATACAACACGTCCAATCAACTCGGCCATTATGCCGCCGCCGCGTGCCTTCGGTCGGACGACCGTCGCGGCCACAAGCGCGTCGCATCACAATATAAACGTATCGTACGACCGGTACCGGTGCGATAACGGCGCGATCTCGCGGGTTTCCCGAAAACGGGCCGACGAACGGGAACGCGCACGGAACACGCGGGAAAAACGCGGGAAAAACGCGGGGAAAATATTCGAAACCGCGTGCGGCCGGACGGGCACGCGGTTCGCCGACAGTGTAACGGCGGCCACGCCGGTGCGCGTACCGCGAAAATTAAAACCGCGCCACCGCATTATTGTTTCGGGAACGCGGGCGTTTTCGCGACGATTCCGGTTTCTCGATTTCCGCCCGGCCCGCAGTGCCGGCGCGAAATCATCGCCCGTTGTAAAACCGAGAAAAGCAAAAAAAAGACGGTCCCGGCGGTCAAGGAACGGCGCGCGTTTTCCGTTTACCCCGGGCGTACCGGCCCGGATTCACGGCCGTTTATAAACGACGGCTGTTTTCGACGTTTTCTCGATCGGCCGCGGCTTTAGAAAACAACTACAGGATAAAAAAAAACCGCGACGCACCTAACAATTCCGCGGTTAGCGCT